TCAGATTGGGAGTTTTTTCTGGTTTTTCTGATTTCCTGCAAAGCAGCAGGAATTCCAGAGAAGGCCAGCAGCAGCAAAATAAGCCGCTCCCTTCCGAAGAAGAGCAGGGCGGCGCCAAAACATATCATAATCACACAATCTGGGAGGGGAAAGGGAGGCGAGGGATGAACAAGTCTTTTGCTCCGATTGCCGATTCGAGCGTTTCCGTGCTCAGATTGCCGATTCGAACGTTTCCGTGCTCCGATTGCCGATTCGAGCGTTTCCGTGCTCAGATTGCCGATTCGCGCGTTTCCGTGCTCAGATTGCGGATTCGATCGTTTCCGTGCTCAGATTGCCGATTCGAGCGTTTCCGTGCTCAGATTGCGGATTCGATCGTTTCCGTGCTCAGATTGCCAATTCGAGCGTTTCATGTGCTTAGATTGCCGATTCGAGCGTTTCCATGCTCAGATCGCCAATTCAAGCGTTCCCGGGCTGAAGTTGCCGATTCGAGCATTTTTGTACTCAGATTGCCGATTCAAGCGTTTCCGTCTTCAGGTTGCAATTCTGGGCGCGTCTGCAAGGGAGAGCGCCGAAACAGGCTCAGATTGAAATTCTGGGCGCGTCTGCTCGGGAAAGCGCCGAAACATGCTCATATTGCAATTCTGGGCGCGCCTGCTGGGGAGAGCGCTGATACAAGCTCAGATTGCAATTCTGGGCGCCCGTGCTTCAGAGAGCGCCGAAACAAGCTCAAATTGTTATTCTGGGCGCGCCCGCTCGGGAGAGCGCCAAAACAGGCTCATATTGCTAACCGCGTGCCGATGATAATAAAGGGACCCCCCCTTCAGTGTTTAGAGTTGATTATCGTTGCCCTATGCAAAATTCAAATTGGGCGGCGAGCGCTGAGGCCGAACTTCATTATCACCTCGAAGCGCCATGTTGAGATAACAACATCAAGCGATGTTGATATAGCAACATCATGAGAAAGCGCTTGCGCATTAAATCTAATAGATTTGTAACTTGTTTTTTTTTGCTCTTTTTCTTCCTCTTCTCTTCTCCTTCTTTTTTGTTAAGTTATATTTCCATTTCTTTATATATTTCTTTATCTATTTATTTTTTCCTCTCTCTCCCCATGCCCCCCTGAACTTGTTTATCCCTGGTGTTGATTATCCATGGCAAGCGAGGCGCGTGAACTACCCTACACGAGCACTTTAAAACATCAATTTTCAGAAAGCGCTTGTGACTTAAATCTAATATATTTGGAACTTGATGACTTTGCTCTTTGTCTTCCTCTTCTCTTCTCTTTCTCTTAATTCATTTTTTTTTTTTTTTTTTTTTTTTTTTTTTTTTTTTTTTTTCTTTTTTTCCTCTCTTTCCCCGCGCCCCCCCTGAACTTGTTTATCCCTGGGGTTGATTATCCGCGGAAAGCGAGGCACATGAGCTACCCTACACGAGCACTAAAAAATTGTAATTTTCATAAAGCGCTTGTAAATAAAAATTTTTAATACATTTGAATCTTCAGATTTTTTGTTTTATCCTCCTTTCCTCTCCTCTTCTACTTCTCCTCATCATTGCTTCTTGCCCCTTTCCTTTTTAATATTTCTTTTATGTATTTCCCTTAACTCTCTTTGTTTTCTTCATTTCTCTCTTTATATCTTTCTCTCTCCCCATGCGCTTCTGAACTTGTTTATCCCTGGGGTTGATCATCCACGGAAAGTGAGGCACATGAGCTCTCTCACACATATATATATATATATATATATATATAAATCATAAAAAGTTTGTAGATAAAATATAATAGATTTAGAACTTGAAATTTGTGCGTTCTGTCGAGGATGTCTCCAGCGATATGAGCCATTGTTGAGGATATTTCTATGAAAGCTAAACGCCAAGGATGTCTCAAAACGTGCTCGGCTTGGTCTCCTCTTGATCATCTCTTACTTCGAGATTATGCTGAGGTCTGCTGGGCTACTTTTATTATCTCTCCCTGAACCCCGAACTTTATTACCCCCTAGTATTCTCACGGGCATGAGGTTATTCTGGTTGCGCCCGCTCGGGGGAGCGCCAAAACGGGCTCAGATTGCTATTCTGGGCGCGCCTGCTCGGGGGAGCGCCAAAACAGGCTCAGATTGCTAGTCCGGGCGCGCCCGCTCGGGAACACGCCGAAACACGCTCAGATTGCTATTCTGGGCGCGCCTGCTCGGGAGAGTGCCGAAGCAGGCTCGGGCTGCTATTCTGGGCGCGCCCGCTGGGGAGAGCGCCAAAACAAACTCCGATTGCTATTCTGGGCGCGCCTGCTCGGGAGAGTGCCAAAACAGGCTCAGATTGCTATTCTGGGCGCGCCCGCTCGGGAAAACGCCAAAACAGGCTCAGATTGCTATTCTGGGCGCGCCCGCTCGGGAGAGCGCCAAAACAGGTTCAGATTGCTATTCTGGGCGCGCCTGCTCGGGAAAATGCCAAAGCAGGCTCAGATTGCTATTCTGGGCGCGCTCGCTCGGGAGAGCGCCAAAACAAACTGAGATTGCTATTCTGGGCGCGCCCGCTCGGGAGAGCGCCAAAACAGGCTCAGATTGCCATTCTGGGCGCGCCTGCTTGGGAGAGCGCCAAAACAGGCTCAAATTGCTATTCTGGGCGCGCCCGCTCGGGAGAACGCCAAAACAGGTTCAGATTGCTGTTCTGGGCGCGCCCGCTCGGGAGAGCGCCAAAACAGGCTCAGATTGCTATTCTGGGCGCGCCCGCTCGAGAGAGCGCCCAAAACAGGCCCAGATTGCTATTCTGGGCGCGCCCGCTCGGGAGAGCGCCGAAACAGGCTCAGATTGCTATTCTGGGCGCGCCCGCTCGGGAGAGCGCCAAAACAGGCTCAGATTGCTATTCTGGGCGCGCCTGCGCGGGAGAGCGCCGAAACAAGCTCAAATTGCTATTCTGGGCGCGCCCGCTCGGGAGAGCGCCCAAAACAAGCTCAGATTGCTATTCTGGGCGCGCCCGCTCGGGAGAGCGCCAAAACAGGCTCAGATTGCTATTCTGGGCGCGCCTTCTTGGGAGAACGCCAAAACAGGCTCAGATTACTATTCTGGGCGCGCCTGCTCGGGAGAGTGCCGAAGCAGGCTCAGATTGCTATTCTGGGCGCGCCCGCTCGGGAGAGCGCCGAAACAGGCTCAGATTGCTATTCTGGGCGCGCCCGCTCGGGAGAGCGCCAAAACAGGTTCAGATTGCTATTCTGGGCGCGCCTGCTTGGGATGATTGGGCAGGTGCTTAATATTTTATACATGTGAGTCCTCAGTAGAAAAGTGTAAAGGTTCAAACGATTGCCATCTTCTGCAAAACTTTTCCGCTCGTTTATTTTCCTCCTACCCCCTCCCCACTGACCTGGACAGGGGGGGCGGGGAGCGGTCAAAGCGTCCAAAACGGCCTCGCCGAGGAAGCCACAATCATTGATTTTACTAAGGTTTTGGCCCCATTTTGGTTCCCAGAAGGGGCAACACTAATTGCAGCTCCCCTCTTCGTTGATCGATTTCCTCCAAAATGACACCAAGAAGCGCCCAGGAGGCACCAAGAGGCCCCAAGATGGCCCCAAGAGAGCCCCAAGAGGCCCCCAAGAGGCCTCCAAGACGATCCCAAACGGCCCAAAGAAGCCCCCCGAGGCATCCAAGACGCCGAAAAGCTTTTCAAAACGACCCTCCACTCGCCTGGGCGTCGTTTCTGGACGGGCTGGTGGGGATACGCGAAACGTCTAGAACTTCAAGAAATAACAATTTCAACACACAAACAAAAAAACAAATTTGCAAATAAATAGCTCCGAATCCCAAAATGCGATCAAAGACTACAGAAATTCCTGTCCGTAGGGGCCTCCGATTTGGTTCTTGCAATTCGCATGCTTTTGATAAAGCGGTATGTGATCTGTCGCCTGCAAACTGCTTGCTGTTTATGATTCGCCGCGTGGAATTTAAAATCTCATATTTTATTTTCTGATTTGGAACGTGCCGTCTGAACCGGCGCATCCTGCATTAAATATTCGAACTTAAATTCGACGCGGTGTTCAAAACCAAACATGATCGGGATTCATGTGGGCGAACCGATAAACGACACAGAATCATTACGACTCTTTTCGGGTATTGGCGAGGCTCCTTGAGCTCTTCTGCTGCTGCGAAAATCTTCCAGCTTGAAAATTAAACAAACACCTCTGCTACTGCTGCTTCCTGCCAAATCGTTGTGATCCGTGACAAGAAAAGGCCGTGCATGGGCATTCTTGAGAAAATCTCCTTACTGTGGGTCGACTGTATATGACAAGACGGCTGCGAAGGTTTTCTTCGTCAACCGAGATCTGTTTGCACTGATGTGCTCGGGTTCGCGCCATTGTGAAGATTCCATGCTCGCGGGATAGATACTTGGAGGGCCGCAACTGGCCCTTGTCCACGCGACAAGTGCGATCTCTCTGTGATGCAGCTAGCCAGTAACAGAAGGCGTTCGACACTGTGCGAGCGGGGCACGGCCAACGAGACAAAGACGGACCGAAGAAACAATGATGCAGGCCCCAAGACGGCCCAATAATCAAAACAATATTCCACCAAGGGCGGCGCTGAATCGCCGATCAAACCTGCATTATCAATTGAAAATCGGGTGCACCATGGGATGGTGAATGAACGACTTGGAACCTTGTCCCTGATTGCGCACGTGACAGGCGCACGGTAATAAATTAATGCTCCAGTATCGGTCGGTGACGATTCGCGTATCGGCAACGGACAAGGTACCAAGAGGCGATATACAATATCAATGGCATTGTTCCGCATGTTGAAACGTCAACCGGAATGACTGCGTCGGTTTGCTTAAAACAGACAAATTAAAACCGTTTCAACAAAACTGCTCAATAACGAGACAATCATGCACAACAACAGCACATCACAGAGACGCACACCTGACCCTCACTAACTGTAAGCGGCTCAAAGCACTAATATGTGTGTGGAATGTTTTGGCACAAAGTAAGTACCCCAACCTCGCTTTCCTGTCACCCCTGCTGAGAGTAGGACGCCTTTTCCACGCTGACATTCCGTGCCCCCGAATGTCTTTCTGCGGGCCCCCGCGGATCACGTGTGAACCACGCCCTTGCAGCAGCAACCGTTTGGACAGAACCACCTCGTTGCCGCCCTCCTGGTTGCCACTCCTGTGCGCACCTGCCGAGATGCTCGCCCTCGAGACCACATGTGCCAAAGCTGGCCTCCAAGAAACGCCTGCTCATGTAACCCTCCCTCTCGCCCAGCAAACCTCGTCCCTCTCTGCTCTTCTGGAGTATGTTCGATCGGAATCGTGAGGGGCTCAGCGCCGAAGTCGGGGCGGCCAGCCCGTCCAAAGCAGGAGAGAGAACTCTTACGCGAATGGTCGCGTCGGTGTAGCATGGCCGCTGAGTCTGGACCGGAAGAAGGAATGCAAGCCAAGTGAAACTGCCAACACTAAGAATCAGGTGCCAACAACTGCCGCGCCTGCCCTGGTGAGCGTTTTTTTATTTGCCGTTTCGACTTTGAGCGGCTTAGTGCGACTGTTTGCAGCACTGGGTCCTGTGAGTGAGGACTCCAACAGCCTGAAACGGGCGCCCCAAACAGCCAAGATCTACTCCATGGGGGGGGAGGGGTCGGGGCCCGCGCCGACAAATCCACATCCGAAGAGACCGCGATACCACTGACTGTGCTCCCACTGCGCCCCGTGTCCACAGCGCATGCACGGCGGCTGGGTGGGCCGAAGGTCACAAGATCCGCCGCCCCTTCTGCTTCAGCAAAGGGGTGCCCGGCGTGCCAGACCCTATCGGTTTTGGTTTTGGTTCTTTTTCCAAGAGAACTCTCCCAATGGGTTTCGGCCCGTCCCGCCGGGGTCCCGGGATTTTTTCCACGGCCCCATTTTTCCACCCAGGACGGCTCCAGGATGGCCTCCAAGTCCGCCCAAGATGGTCCAAGGCAGCCTCCAAGACGGCCCAAGAGAGTCCAAGAGGGCCCCAGACGGGCCAAGAGGCCTCCCAGTGGCCTCCCAGACGGCCCAAGAGGCCTCCACGAGGTCTTCCACCAGGGCCCGAAGAGGCCAAAATCATACATTGTCCTTAGGTTTTTGAAGGATTTTGGAATGTGCTTCTTCTCGGCATTCCGACGGCTCAAGACGGCCCAAGAGGCCCCCAAGATCGCCCAAGACGCCCCCAAGAGAGCCCCATGACGGCCCAAGTGGCCTCCAAGATGGTCTCAAGAGGGCCCCAAGACGGCCCAAGAGGCATCCAACACGCCCAAGATGGTCTCCAAGATGGCCTTCAAGACGGCCCCGAAGCGCCCCAAGAAGGTCTCCCGTTGGCCCAGAAAAGGCCCCCCAGACGGCTCCCGACGGCGTCAGACGTGCCAGGAATCCACCAAGATGGCCGAAGTTGGCTCGAAGCTGGCCCAAGAGGGCCCCCAAGAGGGCCTCCAGGAAGGCCAGAAGAGGCTCAAAACATTGATTTTCCTTTTTTTCTCCCCCCCCCCTCCGGATTTTGACATTTCCTTCTTTTCGGACTTCCGACGGCCCGAGACGGCCCAAGAGCCCCCAGAGATCGCCGAAAGATCGCCCAAGAGGCCTCCAAGATGGCCACGATGACCTTCAAGACGCCCACGTGTTCCCTGAAAGCTTTCCGAACCGATTCGGGGAACACATGGTCCGATGGCTTGGCAGGTCTCGCCTCAACGTTCGGCCACACAAGACGGCCAGGATGACCTCCAAGACGGCCCCAGATGGCTTCCAAGTCCGCCCAAGATGGTCCAAGACGGCCTCAGAGAGTCCAAGACGGCCCAAGGCGGCCCAAGAGGCCCCCCAGATGCCTCCCAGACGGCCCAAGAGGCCTCCAAGAGGTCCTCCAGGAGGGCCAGAAGAGGCCAAAATCATACATTGTCCTTAGGTTTTTGAAGGATTTTGGAATGTGTTTCTTCTTGGCATTCCGACGGCTCAAGACGGCCCAAGAGGCCCCCAAGATCAACCAAGAGGCCCCCAAGAGGGCCCCATGACGGCCCAGGTGGCCTCCAAGATGGCCCCAAGAGGGCCCCAAAACGGCCCACGAGGCCTCCCACACGCCCAAGATGGTCTCCAAGACGCCCAAGATGGCCTCCAAGACGGCCCCGAAGCGCCCCAAGAGGGTCCCCCGTTGACCCAGAAAAGGCCCCCCAGACGGCTCCCGACGGCGTCAGACGTGCCAGGAATCCACCAAGATGGCCGAAGTTGGCTCGAAGCTGGCCCAAGAGGGCCCCCAAGAGGGCCTCCAGGAAGGCCAGAAGAGGCCCAAAACATTGATTGTCCTTAGGTTGTTTGACGGATTTTGAGATTTCTTTTTTTCGGTCTTCCGACGACCCGAGACGGCCCAAGAGCCCCCAAAGATCGCCGAAAGATCGCCCAAGAAGCCTCCAAGACGTCCACGATGACCTTCAAGACGCCCACGTGTTCCCCGAAAGCTTTCCGAACCGATTCGGGGAACACATGGTCCGATGGCTTGGCAGGTCTGGCCTAAATGTGCGGCCATATAGGCGCTTCCACAAAGGCAGGGGGCGGCGATGTTTCGCCGTAGGCGTCTTAGGTCTGACACCCCCCGCTGGCTTGCCACAGGGGTGCCTCCAAAAGGCTCCCAGGAAACTCCCCGGATGCCCCAAGAGTGTATCCAGAGGCTCCCAAAATGCTACATCCTCCTCTTCCTCCTCTTCCTTTTCCTTTTGATCTTCCCCGCGATCCTCCCGCATGTTCCCCGAAGGGTGTCCACAACGGCTGGGGGAACACATCGTCTGAGAGCTTGGCTGAGCTCTTGCCACAACGCTCGGCCACATGAACGATTCCAAAAGGCAAAGGGCGGCGGTGATTCGCCGTAGGTTCTTCGATCTGGCACCCCCTGTGTTCATCAAAGGGGTGATTGGCGCTGTGAGAGCTGAACTGTTTTAGTTCCCGAAGCACTCCTTGCACTTCGAGGTTCTGCTTTGTTGTCCAAAGAACTGCGCATACGAGTCGGTCTGGCGGCTATGTAGCCGTCGTCGCCGCCCCGTCGCCGCAACTTTTGTGATTTACATATGATGCCGTTTCGTTGCTCATTTTCTTTTTGAATTCACACCATCCCACGGGGGCGGGTATCCGCGCCCTGGCCATCGTCGGCAAAACATCATATGCGCGAGCGCTCGTTCATCACAAATCAACACTTTTCAATAATCCCTTGCGACAGAATTTGAAGTGCACACGCGCGCGTCGTCTCGCGGGCGTGCCGAAATCGTTTAAAACAAACCTTCGGTTTCGTACAAGTTTCAACACTGACTGTCCAACAACACATCGACAACACAGGGATTCGCAACAACGATTTTCAAAAAGAACTTTGCGCGCGTGCTCTTGCGAATTTTAAGGTAAAGAAACCGTGGTGTTTCAACACGTTCATACCATGCTACCAAACGGGCTTCGCGCGCGCGCATGTCGAACTTATTCGTGCGTCCTTGCGCGCGTGCCGTCGCAGTAATCTTTTGAAAAAGTAGCGGGATGAAGTGCACGCGCGCGCGCGTGGTCGCGCGCACGCCGAAATTCGCGCGAAGAAAAAAACCCAAGGATTCGTATGGACTTCAAAACCGACTGTCCCGAAACCAACGGTTTTCCGAAAAGCGTGCGCTCGCGCCCTTGCGAATTCTAACTAAAAACCAACGGTCTATTCAGCATGCCACGGGATTCTGCCAAACGGGCCTGCCGCGCTGCACGACGAAGTCATTCGCGCGCCCTTGCGCGCGTGCGGGGGAGGGGCACGATCCGTGTCAAACAATACGGTGCGGTCCACTCTCGCGCGTCTGCCGCGCGCGCATATCGAACTCTTTCCCAAACCTTCATCGCCGACGCGAGGACGCCGTCATCGTCGTCGGCGTGATCAACATCGGCGCCGTCACTGGCCGTGTCGTCGTCGTTGTCAACATCGCCAGTAACATCGCTACCGTCATCGTCGCGCCCACCGCTGTCGACATTGCCATGCTACCGCGCCCGCCCAAGTCGCCGACTCGCATTGAGCATTGAAATGCCGGCTGAGATGCGCCCGGCGGTCAGCGCCACCGCGGCCGCGCCGGTCGCGCCAAACTAGCTGGCCGCTGCGCGCGCGTGCTTGGGTTGGCGCGGCCGCAGAGATGCACCAGCCAACGCCAAGCACTCATCGCAATCGCCGCCGCACAGGTTTTGCAAACCAAATTGCGGGTGGGTGGGTGGGATGTTTGCAAGAGCGTGGAATGTGTCAACGCGTATGTAATAATCAATTCCCAAGTTAAAGAGAAAAGAAAAATCGATTCTACCCCCCTGGGATTATCGGCCCGCCGTTTTCGTATAGCAAATTATATATGTATCTGGCCCAACGTCCATCCTAACTATGAACTCGCACCATCCTGGAAAAAGGGGCCGCTATCCGCCCCCCCCCCGCCACCCTCGGCAACAAATATTATGCGCACGCACTCGTTTATCACAAATCAACAGTTTCCAAGAATCCTTTGTAACAGAAACAACGAAATGCGCGCGCGTCGTCGCGCGCGCATGCCGAAATCGTTCCAAAACCATCGGTTTCGCACGGATTTCAAAATCGAGTGTCCACATGACACATAAACGCAATGTGTTTCGCCAGGCGGGTTTTCAAACAAACTTGCGCGCGGGCTTTTGCGGATTCTAATGGACACTGGCGGTGTTTCAACATTTTCATGACATGCTACCAAACGGGCTTCGCGCGCGCATGTCGAAACCGTTCGAAAGCCCTTGCGCGCGTGCTGGGGTGGCACGATCCGTGTCAAACAATACGGTGCGGTCCACTGTCGCGCGTCTGCCGCGGGCGCATGTCGAATTCCTTGCAGAACCTTCATCGCCGACGCGACGACGCCGTCATTGTGGTCGGCGTGGCGTCGCTGGCTGTCCCGTCGTCGCTGTCAGCATCGTCACCAACATCGTTATTGTCATCATCGTGCATGCCGTTGTCGACGTTGCTGTGATACCGCGGCCATCCAAGTCGCCGGCTCGCACTGAAGTGCATGGTGGGATGTGCCGAACGGTCAGCGACACCGTGTTCGCGTCGGTCACGCCAGACGAACTGACCGCTGAACGCGCGAGCGTGCGCGGGCTAGCGCGACCGCAAAAATGCACCAGCCCACAGCAAACACTCATCGCAATCGCCGCCGCATCGGTTGGGCAAACCTATTTGAGGGTGGGTGGGTGGCATGATTTCGCATGCAGTGGGCTCGATCACTTCAAATTCGGCAGAGTGATTGCACCACGTATACTGCACGGCACATACTGCTAAGATGTATTGCGCCACGTGGGTTGCACGACATATATTGCACATCGTACAAATCACATATTCCACCACGTCGATTGCACCGCGTGCGTCGCAATACATATCAATTCACACACACACATATATATATATATATATATATATAGATTGCACAACGTGGGGTCCCCCTCCAATATATATATATATATGTATATATATATATATGTGTATATATATATATGTATATATATATATATATATATATGTATATATATATGTATATATATATGTATATACATACATACATATAACTTAAATTATAACTGAAAATCTACCCCCCCGGGGTTAACGGTGCACTTTCTCGTGTTGCCATTTGCATATGATTCTACACCATTGTCCATCTCAGCCAAGCCGGTATCGCCCCCGCCCTGGTCCTCTACAAAAACATGTACGCGTGTACTTTCGTTTATTAGATTTCATCAATGTCCAAAAGTCCTTCGCACAACCACTTGGTGAAGTGCACGCGCGCGCGCGTCGTCGCGCGCGAATGCCGGATTCTTTCAAACACCGACGTTGTCGTAAGAACTTCAGAATCGAGCGTCGCGAAAACATATAAGCATACACGGTTTCGCGACAAGGGTGTTCAAAACAAGCCTGCGCCCGCGCTCCTGCGAATGTTGAAGCAAATCGTAGCTTCTTTAACGTATCCAGAACATGCTACCAACATGGCCTCTCGCGCGGGCTTGTCGAAATCGCTCAATCGCCCTTGCGCGCGTGCTATCGCAAGAACCCTTTGCAAACAATAAGACGAAGCGCGTGCACGCGCGTCGTCGCGCGCGCATGCCAGAATAAATTTTAAGCCTTGGGTTTCGCAAGGGTTTCGAAACACATGTGAAAACACATGGCTTTGCGACATCCGTGTTCAAAAAAGCCTGCGCTCGCGGATTGGCGGAATCTCAAGAGAACCATCGATTTCCAACATGTTCATCTAATTCTGCCAAGCGGGCCTGTCGCGATGCATGCCGATCTCATTCGAACGCCCTTGCGCGCGTGCTGGGGGGGGGGGGGGGGGGGCGGGGGCGCGATCAGTGTCAAATAATGCCACGCTGGCCACTCGCGCGCGCATGTCGAACTCCTTGAAAGACCTCCATCGCCATCTGGAGGACATCGTCCTCGTTATCGGCGGGCATGATCAACATCATGATCACTATCGGCGCCGTCATTGAACTTGCCAGCGTCATCGTCCCCATCGCCACCATCTTCGCTACTGTCATAATCCTGTCTACCATTGTCGGCGTCGCCATGATACCGCACCCGCCCAAGTCATCGACTCGCACTGAAGTGCCCGCTGGGAGAAGCCCAGCGGTCAGCGCCACCGCGACCGCGTCGGTCGCGCCAAACTAGCTGGCCGCTGTGCGCGCAAGCGTGCGCGGGCTAGCGCGGCCGCAGAGATGCACCAACCAACGCGAAGCACTCACCGCAATTGCCGCCGCATGCCACGCTGGCTAAAATGAGCGTTTTGAAGATTCGAACGGCCCTCTGGCTCAGCCCGCCAGCCACATGGATAAACTCCTACGTGTGTTCCAAAGGACCTGGTCTGGTTGTCCGTCTGGCCGGCATGTAACCGCCTGTCGCCGCCTCGTCGCCGCCCGTCGCCTGGGCTTTGTTATCGGTCTGGTCGCCCTGTCGCCGCCTCGTCGCCGCCCGTCGCCTGGGCCTGGTTGTCCGCCCCGTCGCCGCCCGCCGCCGCCTCGTCGCCGCCTCGTCGCTGCCCGTCGCCGCCGCCCCGTTGCACCGCCGCTGTTGCATTGCAATTGCATTGCGTTGCATTCGGGTTGCATTGCGTTGCAATCGCAGTGCTTTGCATCATTGCATTACTCAGATCGCACCACATATATTGCACCATGTTTTACACCACATAGAGTGCACCACATATCATGCTTAGCATAAACTTCACCACATAGTTGGCACCACATACATGGAGCCACATCTATTGCATTACATCGATTGCACAACGTAGATTGCACCACATAGCTGGCACCACATACATTGCACGACGTATATTGCGCACCGGATAGATTACACGACATGTTTTGCACCACGTCTACTGCGCAACATGTATTGCACAACCTATATTGCACCACATCGAATGCACACCACACACTGCACCAACTATATCACACCACGCATACGGTATTGGAACACAATGTTTGGGATCCGCGCTGGCCAACACATATTTTCCGCAAGCTTCTAATTCATTTCGCGTTCTCGCCATTTTGGGCATCCGACTTCCGAAGACGGCCCCAGAAGCCAAGGCATCCCCACGACGGCCCATGAAGCCCCCACGATGGCGGCAAAATACCCCCAAGAAGGCCCCACGAAGGCACCAAGGCGGCCCCACAGACCTCCAACGCAGCCCTAAAGCGCCGAAAGAGGGCCCCACGACGAGCCAGAGGGCCCCCAGACGGCCCCAGAAGGCCACGTGGCCCCCCCCCGAGGTCCTCAAGAAGCCCAGAGGCCCCAAAGATGTCCACAAGAGGATCCCAAGACGCCCACCAAAGGGCCCTCAAGAGGTCTCCAAGAGACCCCAAAGAGGTCAGTGGCCCCTAAGGGCCCCCCAGGAGGCCTTCTTTGCCTCCCACTCTTTCTCCTCCTCCTCCTTCTCCTCCTCTTCCTTCTTCCTTTCACAACTGTTCCCCAGAGGGTTTCCGCAACGGCTGGGGGAACACGTAGTCCTATAGCTTGGCCAGACTCTGGTCCAACGTTTGGCCGCATATGCGTTTCCAAAAGGCAGGGGGCGGCGGTGGTTCGCCGAAAGCGTTTGTGACACTATGAACTCGAAACAACACGACGACTGATGTCCATCGGCCGGGATTTGCAACCCGTCCGAAACCTCATGGTCACCCGGCGGAACGTCTCAAGGCCAGAAATGGCTCGGGCCACTCGGGGTCCTCTCTGGGCGCGATTGCAGCAGTCATAAACCACTCGTTGAGACCCATGTGTAAGTGATAAAACAGCGCCCCCAGCGTGGCGTGGCTCGGGAGGGTGCCCTACGTGGCTGTTTCCTAGCCGCAATGAAGGTGGCAAGCAAGGTGTGAAGGTACCGAGCGAGAGCAACATGTAAAGAGGCATGCCTTCCAGCAGGGTCAGCCCCCATCAGGGCAATAGCTGGCCCAGTACTCCTCGAATCAGAACTTGGAGTGCCCACCTTGGATGCTGCTGGAACGCGCCAATCCCTGGAGGGTGATGATCTCGGACACAAGCACTCATGCGGGAATATTCACGGCACCGACCTTGCAGACGTACTCCAACGAATTTTTGCGCGGATTTCTATCCATGCAAAACCCCGAAACGGCGAGCGGAAACAATAATCAATTCCACGTGGATTTTTTTGTAGTCGTTATTCCTGGTGGAAAAAATCCGCGCGAAATTGTCCAGGACAATCCGGGTCCACCCCATTGTCTTCCGCACGACATCCGCTCTGCGATGTTTGAGTATCGTTTAACCGATCCCCATCCCCAGCGGCGAGGCCTGGGCCCCACTGGCCGATTTACCCCCCTAGATGGGGACACAGGTCGTCCCCTTCGAGTTTCGAGGGGTCTATCCCCAACTGGGGTGGTGATTTGGTGGGGGTCTCGAAGGGGATGGGGATGGGGATGGGGATTGGTTAAACGATACCGAATGTTGCAAGGGCTCTCAACTTCGCGCTTCGCGCTGCGCGAAGTGCGAATAACTTCGCGCTCTCGCGCCGCCTCCCAAGGGAGAAGAGGAGGATGCGGAATCGGAGCCGAACCGCGAAGCGCGAATAACTTCGCGCCCTCGAGGGCGCCCTCGATGTACGCAGGTCCCGCGTGTGCACATACGGGCCAACGATGCACACGGTCAATGCCCCCGGGACCGCTGGGCGGGCCCCCCGTGCGCTCGAGCCGCCCCGGGCGAACCTGCTCAAGAGTCAGCGGGCGGATCTCGAGGGCTTCGGATCTGGGCGGGAGGCGGTGGGGGGCATCCACATGAGAACAGAAAAGACTGCCCTCCTCCTCCTCCTCCTCCTCCCAGCGGGCGGAGCGAGGGTCTCGGATTTGGGCGGGAGGCGGCGGGGGGCATCCACAGGATAGACAAAAAGACTGCACAGACATGATTTCTCCGACTTCCGCGCGGGTTTCCAGGATCGGCGCTGGACCCCTCTCTGGCGTGCGAAGCGCACCAGCTGAGTAAGTGCGTGTGGCGAACGAAGGACTCGGCGGCAAAACGAGAGACACATTCGTACCAAGGGAAACGCCGAAAGCGGGAAGCGAACGAGTGAGGGAGGCGAGCGAAACGGGAGGCGAACGAAGGCAGGAGGCGAACAAACGCGGGAGGCGAACGAAAGCGGGAGGCGAGCGAAGGCGGAAGGCGAGCAAACGAGGGAAACGCACACGAAAACGGAAGGCGAGCGACACCGGGCAGGCAAACACAAAAGTGGGAGGCGAGCGGGAGGCAATCATGAAAGTGCGAGGCGAGCGAAAACGGAGGGGAAGCGAAAGCGGAAGTCGAACACTAAAGCGGGAGGGAGGCGAGCACTACAGCGGGAGGCGAACGCAAGGCGAACGAAAGCGGGAAGCGAGCGAAAGCGACAGGCAAACGAAAGCGGCATGCGAGCGACACGGAGAGGCGAGCCATAGCGGAAGGAGAGCGACAGCAGGCGACGACCGAAAACGTGGGGCGAGCACGAAAGTGGGAGGCGAGCGAAATCGGGAGACGAACACGAAAGTGGGAGGCGCGCGACAGCGGGACCCAAAAACGAAAAAGGGAGGCGAGCGAAAGCGGGAGGTGAGCGAACGCGGGAGGCGAGCATGAACGCGAGAGGCGAGCGAATGCGGAGGGCGAACACGAAAGCGGGAGGCGCGCGAACGCGGAGGGCGAACAAGAAGGCGGGGCGAACACGGTATTAGGATGCGAGCGCGAAAGCGGGAGGCGAATGGAAGCTGGAGTCTGATACGAAAGCGAAGGCGAGCGACAACGGGAGGCGAGCGACAGCGGGATGGGAACGAAAGCGGGAGGCGAACACGCAAGTGGGAGGCGAGCGACAGCGAGAGGCGAGCGAAAGCGGGAGGCAAACACAAAAGTGGGAAGCGAACGAAAACGGGAAACGAGCGAAAACGGGAGGCCAGCGAATACGTGAAGAGAGCGACAGCGGGAGGTGAACACGAAAGTGGGATGCGAGCGAAAACGGGAGGCGAGCACGAGCGCGGGAGGCGAGCGACAGCGCGAGGCGAGCACGAAAGTGCGAGGCGATTGAAAGCAGGAGGCGAACACGAAAGTGGGAGGCGAGCAAACGCGGGAGGCGAGCGAAAGCGGGAGGCGAACTAAAGCGGGAGGCGAACGAAAACGGGAGGCGAACAGAAGCGAGAGGCGAACACGAAAGTGGGAGACGATCGCCTCCCACTTTCGCTGGTCAACCCTTGTTGCAAATTAGGCTCACCTTGTCGTGAATTAGTCTCAAGTTGTCGTGAATTAGTCTCTCTTGTGGTGAGAAAGTACTACCTTTGCCAGGTGTGGCGCCAGAGGTTCTGCCAGAGGGGCCCAGGCGTCGATCCAAAAAATCCGCGCGGACCTCATATCAATTATGTGAATGCCGTCTTCTGCTCCTCGGATCCAGGCGGGCTGCCGGGTGTTCGTTAACAGGGGGGCAATAAGCGTGGGTTGATGGAGCGTGCACCTTTCGTGCACCTGTCGGGCCTGCAGTGGCCATGCCATGTGGGACCCCTTTAGAGCCACTTTCCTGCAATCCTCGATCCCCCCCGCTGCTGGAGGGCGCTCAGCCCCGCGGCCGGACACGGGCGGATGAGCGGCCCGCACCGAGGGTCGGAGGCGGAAAACGTACCGATGTCGCTGCCCTTGGCTCGTACTCTCCTCCTTGTTGGTCCTCCTGAGAGGCCCTCGTCGCCATGGCTGGGTTCGGTTTCCCCTCCCCATCCCCCTCCCCCTCCCCCTCCTCCTCCTCCTCCTCCTCCTCCTCCTCCGACCTCCTCCTCTCCTCCTCCTCCTCTCCTCCCTCCTCCTCCTCCTCCCTCCTCCTCCTCCTCCTGCTCCTCCTCCCCTCCCCCTCCTCCTCCCATCAGAATATACCCTGGGAGGGGTCTGGGGAACAACGCCGGGGCCCCCACGTTGCCGTCCACACCCGAAGCCAGGGCGCGCGATCCCGGCACCCCGAGCACGGATCCAGGCGCGACCAAGGGCGTGGGGCTGGCGCTGGGGCCGGGGCAAGCGCCGCACGTGCAGGAGCGCCTCCTGGCCTCGGGCACTGCTCCGGGCCCTCGCACGTCGGGCACGCGCGATGCAGAGCACGGCTGCTCGGAGCAGGGCGAGTCGAGGCACCAGCAGCTCAAAGTCCCACCCCTCCTCCTCCTCCTCCTCCTCTCCTCCTCCTCCTCCTCCTCCTCCTCTCCTCCCTCCTCCTCCTCCTCCTCCTCCTCCTCCTCCTCCCTCCTCCTCCTCCTCCTCCTCCTCCTCCTCCTCCTCCTCCTCCTCCTCCTCCTCCTCCTCCTTCCTCTCCTCCTCCTCCTCCTCCTCCTCCTCCTCCTCCTCCTCCTCCTCCTCCTCCCCTCCTCCTCCTCTCCTCCTCCTCCTCCTCCTCCTCCTCCTCCTCCTCCTCCTCCTCCTCCTCCTCCCTCCTCCTCCTCCTCCTCCTCCTCCTCCTCCTCGCTCCTTCTTGCCCTCCTCCTCCTCCTCGCTCCTTCTTGCCCTCCTCCTCCTCCTCCTCCTGGGGTCCAAGTGCACAAGTCTTCCGAGCTGCTTCCAGCCGTGGCGACGAGGGCTCCCCCCCGAAGGTCAACTGGCGCTGTCTCCGCTCGACCTCCTCGGAATGGCAACCACTTGCGAGGAGGTCCGTGCCCAGCGTGCCGGCTCCAATGCTAGAGGCCTCCTAGATGGGGCCCAAGTAGATGGGGTCGAAGGATCGCGCCACATCACCGATGCATCACCGATGCGTCGACGATGCATCGACGATGTCTGCGCGACGTCAGCGATGCGTCGGCGACGTCGGCGTGAAAGCAATTGGGCTCCACATCGAGCTGCATCGCCGATGCATCGGCGATGAGGAGGGATCCTCCGACACCGTCTACCCCGACCCTTGATGGGCCTGTTTTCCACCACCACCATAAGTTGCAGGGGGAGGGGGTCCTCCTCCTCCTCCTCCTCCTCCTCCTCCTCCTCCTCCTCCTCTTCGTCCCTCCTCTTCCTCCTCCTCCTCCTCCTCCTCCTCCTCCTCCTCCTCCTCCTCTTCGTCCCTCCTCCTCCTCCTCCTTCCCCCGTCCAACTTATGGTGGTGGTGGTGGAAAACAGGCCCATCAACCCTGGGCCTAGCACTGCCGCAGGTCAGCGCCGCGGGCCCCGCCCGAGCCCGCCCGGGCCCCCGCGGGAGCCACCGCGGGCGCCGCCGCCGCGCTCGCCGCCGTTGGGGCAGTCCCGGGCCCAGTGGCCCGGCTGCCCGCACTTGTAGCACTCGCCTGGGGGAACATACTCCAGGTCTCTCAATAAGTGTGGGGGGGGGGGATCGCGCGGGGGGGCAGGAAACCGCTGTCCTTCGGGGGGCGTGGGGAGGTTGGGGAGTGAGAGTGAGTGGATTCGGGGCGCGTCGGGGGGCGGGCAATGGGCGTCGGACAGGTTGGCACGGGGGGGGGGCTTATTGAAGGATCTGGAGTAAGCCTGGGTCGGGCATGTCCCCCTACAGGCGGATTTTGGACGATGAAAAGGACATACGCAGGAAATGCCCCCAAAGAGTCAAACGTAGCAAAATTATCCGTGCGAGGGACCCAACCACATGCAGTTGTGAGCAACGCGTTGTGGGTGCCGCTTTCGGTCGAACTTCCTATGGGGCCACGGAGCGCGTGAGGGACGTGCCGTAATGGGTGGGGGAAACGCATGCGGGCGGTGCCACTGGGGCCTTACGTGGGGCTCCCGATGGGCCACCAAACGCTGTCCTGGGTGTGGCTAACGCATGCGGGCGGTGCCCCTCGCTGAAGCTCCCGATGAGGCCACGAAACGCTGTTTTGTTTGGGGCAAACGTATGCGGGCGGTGCCGCTGGGGTCTTTCTGTGGAGCTCCCTACGGGGCCACGAAACGCTGCAATGGGTGGTGGCCGACGCATGCGGGCGGTGCCACTGGAGTCTTTCAGTGGAGCTCCCTACGGGGCCACGGGAGGGGGGGACGCATGCAGGCGTTGCCACTGGGGCCTTCGGTGGCCACTGGAGCTCCCTACGCGGCCACGAAACGCTGTACCAGGTGGGGGGGACGCATGCGGGCGGTGCCACTGGGGCTTGGTGGAGCTCCCAATCAATGGGGCCGCGAAATGCAAAACTAGGTACGACGCATGCGAGCGGTGCCACTGGGGTCTTTATGTGGAGCTAGCTCTCTATGGGGCCACGAAGCGCGGTACTGGGTGTGGCGGGCGCACGTGGCCACCCCGACTGGGGCCTTGCGTGGAGCTCCCTATGGGGCCACGAAGCGCTGTACTGGGTGTGGCGGACGCCTGCCGCCACCTCCACTGGGGCCTTGGGTGGAGCCCCCTGTGGGGCCACGAAGCGCTGTACTGGGTGTGGCGGACGCATGTGGCCACCCCCAATGGGGCCTTACGTGGAGCTAGCTCCCTATGGGGCCACGAAGCGCTGTACTGGGTGTGGCGGACGCATGTGGCCACCCCCGTTGGGGCCTTACGTGGAGCTAGCATCGCATGGGGCCACGAAGCGCTGTACTGGGTGCGGCGGGCACATGTGGCCACCCCCACTGGGACTCTGGGTGGAGCTCCCTATGGGGCCACGGAACGCTGCACTGGGTGTGGCGGACGCATGTGGCAACCCCCACTGGGGCCTTCCTTGGAGCTCCCATGGGACCACGAAACGCTGCACTTGGTGTGGCGGACGCATGTGGCCACGCCCACTGGGGCCTTGGGTGAAGCTCCCCATGGGGCCACGAAGCGCGGTACTGGGTGTGGCGGACGCATGTGGCCACCCCCGTTGGGGCCGCAGGTGGAGCTCCCTATGCGGCCACGAAGCGCTGTACTGCGTGTGGCGGACGCATGTGGCCACGCCCACTGGGGCCTTGGGTGGAGCTCCCCATGGAGCCACGAAGCGCTGTACTGGGTGTGGCGGACGCATGTGGCCACCCCCACTGGGGCCTTACGTGGAGCTTCCTGTCGGGCCACGAAGCGCTGTACTGGGTGTGGCGGACGCATGTGGCCAACCCCACTTGAGCCTTACGTGGAGCTCCCTATGGGGCCACGAAGCGCTGTACTGGGTGTGGCGGACGCATGTGGCCACGCCCACTGGGGTCTTGGGTGAAGCTCCCTATGGGGCCACGAAGCGCTGCACTGGGTGTGGCGGACGTCTGTGGCCACTCCCACTGGGGCCTTGATCTCCCTATGGGGCCACGAAGCGCTGTACTAGGTGTTGCGGACGCATGTGGCCATCCTCACTGGGGCCTTGGGTGGAGCTCCCTATGGGGCCACGAAGCGCTGTAGTGGGTGGGTGCAACGCATGGAGGAGGGAGGAGGCGGAGGAGGGAGTGGGCAGCGGGAGGAAGGAGACGCGGGGCGATGTCCCTTCAAAACGAGGACCCAACACCACAGGATGGTTGGGAATGACGACGGCGACGATGATGACGATGACGATGACGATGACGATGACGATGACGATGACGATGACGATGACGATGATGATGATGATGATGATGATGATGATGATGATGATGATGATGATGATGATGATGATTACGATATCGATGATGACGATGCTGATGATTACGATATCGATGATGATGATGTTGTTGATGATGATGATGCTGCTGATGATGATGATGACGATGATGATAATGATGATGATGATGAAGATGATGATGCTGTTGCTGATGCTGATCATGATGATGATGATGAGGAGGAGGATGATGATGATGATGATGATGATGAGGATGAGGATGAGGATGATGATGATGATGATGATGATGATGATGATGATGTTGAAAAGAGGACGGAGGGGCAGAGGAGAGGAGTGACGCGGGGCGCTGTCTCTTCAAAAGAGGACCCAACACCGCAGGATGGTTGGGAAACATCGTCCTATTTTTTGAATACTTATGAGCATTCCTCCTGTAGAGGGAAAGGCCCGGACTTAATCTTACTCCTAAGGGAACATAAGCTCTCGGAGATCTGCGCGGAGCCGCCTTGGGGGCCCAGCGCAGACCCAAGACATCTGCGCGGGCCTCCGACTCCCCATGCTTACGCGCCGGTCGGAAGAGGTGGGTAAACACATGAAGCAGGAGGGCGTTGAAGTAGATTGGGCTTCCGCCCGCCCCCTGAAGAGGAGCGAAGAAAGAACTCCGTCGACCCTGGAGGTGGGAAGGCGCCGAAATTACCTTGGGATCTGGGAATCCAGAAATACCTACTTTCAACGACCGGCGTGCACACAGCTTTCTTGTGCTTCCTCCATCGCCGCCGCCCCCGCTGGCGCCCCCGCCGCCGCTGGCCCGCGGGGCGGCCGCACCAGCGCCTGCAGGGCAGTCGCGGGCCCAGTGCCCGGCCTGCCCGCACTTGAAGCACGCGCCGCCGTCCCCGCCGCCGGCCGCCGCAGGCGGGCCGCCGCCCGCGCTGCCGCCCGCGCCCAGCCCGCTGCCGAATCCACCCCCGCCTCCGCCTCGGCCGCCGGGGCCGCCGCCGAACGGCCCGCTGGAGCTGGCGGCGCCGCCGGCGCCGCCGGGCGCCTCGTCGGCCCACTGGAAGAATCCGCAGTCGCCGCACTTGAAGAACTGCCTGCCCGTGTTCGGGCCCTCCTTCCGCACGGTCAGCAGCGCCGCGGGGCGCGGCGGGTCGCACCGGCACGCCGCGTCCGTGCCGAGCTCGGCCTCGGGCCGCGGCGCCGGAGGCTGTGGCGCTGGCGCGCCGAAGCCCCCCGGCGGCGGCGCTGCGGCCTCGTCGGCCCACTGGAAGAAGTTGCAGTCGCCGCACTTGTAGAACTGCCTGCCCGTGTTCGGGCCTTCCTTCCGCACGGTCAGCAGCGCCGCGGGGCGCGGCGGGTCGCAGCGGCACGATGGGTCGGGGCCGAGCTGGGCCTGCGTGGCTTGTGGCTCCCACCCGGTCAGCGGCGGTGGCAGCTGCTGTGGCGCGCCGATGCCGTCGGACAGCGGAGCCGCGGCGAACAGCGGCAGCGGGGGATCTCCCGCCTGTGTGCGGGCAAGGAGCGATGGAGGGGGCAGGCGGAAGAGGAGGGAGGGAGGGAGGGAGGGGTGAGGATACAGGTGAGGCATTCCATGATAGTGATGAGGAGAACTGGGTCAGGGCAGGGGGGAGGATGATGAGGAGGAGGCGCAGGGAGAAGGAACAGGAACGAGTCTGGGACAGAGGGCGGGAGAGGGAACAAGTGAGGAGTACGGAGGCCGAGGAGGATAAGGAGGATTACGAGGAGGACAGGGGAAAGGGGAAGATGGACGGCGGTTGAGTGAGGAAGAGGGGTCTGGCAGAGCAGAGTTGGTAGAACTAGGAGGGATGGAGGTCAAATCAAGGAGGTGGAGGAGGTTGAATAGGGAGGAGGAGGAGGAGGACGAGGAGGAGGAGGAGGAGGAGGGGAAGGAGGAGGAGGAGACGTCCGTAACCATTTTGGCTCAAAGCCGCGCCTAGCGCGACCGTACTCCCCATACCGTAAACACCTTGCTTTCCCACTCGCATCCTTTTGTTCCCTGCAGCGCTCGCGTCAGGACTGCTTGCTTCAGACCTGCGGCATCCTCGATTTCCTCGCGGACGTCAGCTTCCTGCTCTACATCGATTTCTTTGCGGACGTCGGCTTCCTGCTCGACATCGGCTACCACCTCCACCACGACGTTCTCAGCACGCCAGCGCCGCCCTGCCTGGCACCGACGACTGCGACGAGAACGTGCCGACGCACGAGTACTACTACGACTGGATCGAGCACGACAAATACTCGAGGCCCACCACAGCGCCCAACAACCATCCAGACCACCCGCCAACACCATGGAGCCCAAGATGGCACAGACTCCAATTGGCAGCTACCACAACAAACACTGGCACCAACAACAGTACCAGCAACACCAAGGGGACACCACAAGAGCCCCTCGGACACAATGGCGCGCCCGCAACCGTGACGACACCCGCGGCACGGGTAGCAGCAGCTCCATGGGACAGCCGCACCAACAAAACACACAGAAACAGCAACAATAAAACCTCAACGTGCAACGCAGACAAGACAAGAGAACATATACGGCTGCCGACATCGCCCCCGTGACCCTCACCGAAGCCAGAAGACAACAACATTGGAACAAGCCGCCTCCAATGCACCGCTTCGACAGAGTCAAGGAGTACCGCAATACTTGCAAATCCGACATCGACTCCCTCATCACCACCACCCAGCGGCACGCCAACGACGACTACGATTTCGAAGGAATCGTCACCAAGATCCGCCTACAGAAGTCCATGCTACTATACTCATGCGACGCCAAGGACCAGCGAAGAGAAGTCGAGAGCATGAGCAACGACACAGTCACACAAGTGGACGACGCACAACAACAGCTGGAGGAGCTCCAGCAAAAGGCTACAGTCCTTGGAGACCGACATCGCCAACTTCGACGGCTTCGCGACAACATCAGGGAGGCAGACTCGGACAACGATGCGGACGCCGAGTCAGCAACAACGCCCAGGAGACGAACAAAGCAACAACGCTCCGACACCCCCTGCTCCCAGCTGTGAAAGACGCCACCGAGGGTTCATCGGGGACATGTCACCAGCGCATCGAGAATCTCAAGAACGAGCCCCGCGAGGCCAACAACATCATGCGCCAGACCGTCGACCAGAACCGCACCCCCCCCAAGAGTCAAAACAATGTCACGAGAACTACGAGGAGACAACCGTCACCAACGAGCACCTACAAGGAGCACTCGAAGAAACGCGACAACAAATACATCCGCAGCGGCAGCCACGAGTTCCGGACGCGCTCATCAAGTGCAACAAACTCGAGAAGGACCTAGAAGGAAGAGACGAGACCATACAGCACCTTGAGCACCAGCAACATATCATCATCACCGACCTGCAGCAGACAAGAAACGCTGCCCATCGACTCCACGAACAACAGCACTCACAATAACAACTTCGACAAGAACTGGCAACAGCGGAAGCCAAGAACTCGAAGATTGAGGGCCAAAGCCGCAAGCGCATCCAGTGCTACTACAACCTCTAGGGTGAAATACTTCGAGAACGAGAGCTACGGACAAAAGCAGACTGTGCACATCGAGGAGAAGCAATACCGAAACAAGACCGAGACCATCCAGGTACTAGAGGGACGCACGGAGGACATGCAGAACTACAGCACCCAGCTCCACCAACACACAGAAACTTATGCGGCGACAGCGGAGCTACAGGCTGAACGTATACACTACGGCCAACACCAGCTCAGAGCCGCTAAGGATTCCATAGAGACCCAAGAGCAACTCCTCCACCAGATACAGAATAAGCAACATGTTACATAAACACAACTGCAGCAACGACCAAGACAGCTCGAGGACGTCAACTCGAAGATCTACGCCATGCAGAAGGAGCGAGAAGCAGGCTTCGTCAACGACCTCCCCGATCAGCTCAGGGGCGACGACTCACGGTTCATCGTCACCTTCCTTCAGACGCCACAAGGAACATGACCACAACAAACCGACCAGGGAGCTCAGCTCATCGTCATCCCCTGTTCCGAGATATCCGACATCGAATACCACGGCACCCATGCCCAAGGGGATGACTACCAACGCGAAGCGGACATGCTCAACTTTGCAAACACGACATCTGAAGACGAGCACTCAGCCACGACGCCAGAAGCTGAAGGGACTACTCCAACGCCACGACACGATCAGGACGCAGAACAGATACTACCCCAAGCTCAACCATGGGAACCAGCTTCAACCCAGCCAAGGAACGATGACTACTGCATCAGCTGGGCCGAGAAGTTTCACATCCAGCGCAGCGACTTCGAAGGTGACAATGCCCCGACACCGATAGCAGACGAGCAGGCACCATTGGACCAAATAACTGGAAGAGTCGAAACGACACCATGTACGCCGCCAAGGGAAGCAACCATATCACCAACGGAATGCATGACACCTATCGACTTCCGACCAGCACCGACATTCCATATTGGCACACCACAAGACAGATCGACATCAATGCCACCCAGATCTTCCGACCAGCCATCCGAAGCAGTTCGCTTGCACCGCAAGCGCACAGAGCTATGCCGACCGCTCAGTGCGCTTCGCCCAGTTCGCTTCGCTGCTCAATGAGCTTCGCTGCCGACAACGGCCAAGGTGCAGTGGGCCCAGCAGGCGAGAGGATCATCATCCCCATGAAACAACACGACGACAACGACAGCAGCGGCATCGACGGAGGTGCCAGCGACCGACCCCCAAACAACTGACTAAGGACGGTGGCATCGGGGATACCACCGTCAACGAAGCCAATAGGGCCACCGTAGCAACAACCAGTAGACTCAGCGACACCCCGCTAGGAGTGTCAACACCAGAGCACGTCACGCATGGAACGTACAGCTTGACCACGGCCGATCGCTCCAGAACCAAACGCGCACGACTCAATGTGCGATCCCGATTCCAACGCCGAACTGGAATTCACCGAGCAGCAATGCTTCCTTTTTACCAGCGTGGCAAAGACGGCCGACGACGCATCTCCTCGGGCAACCCCTGCAGCAACGCAACGAGTACACGCGCCAGCAGGGAAGCCGAGACAACGACGGGAGTGGCTAACCTCCAGGGGAAGGAGATAGCCCAGCAAACCTGGCGGTCGAGAGGGACGGACAGGCAACCATGGACCTCGCAATGCCTGTTTCAACCAGATACGACCCACCGAGCGACGACAGCTCGGGCTCCATGCGAGGCGACCTGGACATCCATGCGGAGGAGGCGACATCTGCAAACCGACGCACCTATGGGGGAACCACTTCCCCCCAAGGTGCACAACAAGGGAAGAACTTTACAGTCGCAGTTCCGTTCCTCCCAGTGGCGCCGAAAGCGGCCGTCCTGACTCGCGCATTCCCCCCCGCTACTTATCAACGCGCACCTCCCTTACCGCGACGGCAAAGGACGACGACTCTACTTCAAACCCAACCAATGGAGAATAATGACCCAGACCTCCAGATTACTAATAGTCAAGTTCCAGAGAACCATCGTGGTCGCTCACGCACCACGCTCGCATGCTGACGATCTTTAGTGCAACCTGTACTGGGGTTACATCAGCGCCTAGACCGAAAAAATCAACGACGAAATTATCATCATCGACGCCAACGGTACTACGGGAAACATCACCTCCCCCCGCATTGGGGATGAAGGACAACCTGAAGAAGACAACAAAGGAGGAAAGTACTTCCACGCCAACTTGCAGTACCACAACCTCTTCGCCGCCAGCACTACTATAGAGAAACATGTGTCCTGTCACACAGATGTGGGAAAAACACACAGCATCGCATCGACTACATGTGCGTACCATGCGGGCAAGGGAAGATCGTCAAGTACATGGAGGTCCTCGACGACTTCGACACCCACCAGGAAGACGAACTACCACTACCCGATCATCGCCGACTCGACCTACATCGAGAAAACCAAAATCAAGACATGCGGGATACACTTGGACCGCGCAAAGTTGCGAGGCCCAGGAGCTCAACGGAACTTCAATAATGACATCGCAGCGATACCACTACCACCATACCAGGAGAAGGTGAACGATCACGCCAACTACCTTGCACAACAAGTACATGAGGCAGGCATCGCGGCCTTCAAACCTGACGAGATCAACCCCGGGAAGCCGTACTTACAACCGGCTACTTTCGCACTCATCCGCGCCAGAAGAGCATGCCAACGTGCGCTGCGACGCTTGCGACAAGAAGGCGAGAACAGAAAGACGCGGATCGGCCTCATCAATCTAGTCTAGCAGATCTACGAAGCCCGCATCCCCACCATCAGCGCGTACGAGGCCATGACGCACCGAGAGGCCATGCTACCACTTCAACGAGTAGCTGAAGACATACTGCACAACGACACCCAGCTTGAAGAGATAGTACTAGCGGCGATTGCATGCATTCCCGCGCGGAAATCACATCAACTACTAAACGCCATCGAGACTGGCCGCTCCAATTACCTCGCGTTCATCGTCAACAATGCAAAGG